CTGGCTGCACCAAGCGACCGGCAGCCCAGAGCTCCAACGACTGGCTCATTCGGGAGTACGCTAACGGGGGGCAATAAACGTCGGGTGAAGAAACGTGCACTTTTCGCTATTTTTTTGGACCCGCAGTGGCAGTTCAGGGGCTGTTTAGGGCCCCTTCTTGGCCACCCCCTGCAATCCTCAATCCTCCCACGTTCGGTGCCGCCCCCATCCGTTGCCGCCAGCCCGACTCATCCTGCATCCGCCCTCAGATCCAGGGGGTCGCGGAGCAACTGGTGTTTTGGCCCCGTTTCGAGCCCACGGATACCCGTGGATCGACCTGGCCCAAGAAACCCCGCATCAGGATGGGGCGGAGAGCGTGCCTCCTCCGCACGTTCCCTGGCAGCCCAGGGTCCCCCTCCCGCCTTCTGTCCATTCCTCCTCCTCCTCCTCCTCCTCCTCCTCCTCCTCCTCCTCCTCCTCCTCCTCCTCCTCCTCCTCCTCGATGTGCAAGAGCCATGGCGCGCGTGCCACTTGTTTCGGCACGCACGACACCGGCGCCGCGCCCTCCTCCTCCCCCTGGCGCCGCGCTGGGCCACCACTCCCCCTTCAGAACAAACCCAGCTCCTACACGCCCACCAGCAAGCGCGCCCCTCGGCCCCTCCGCCCCGACAATTTTCTTTCGGCACGCATGGAACCAGCGCTGCGTTCCCCCCCCTGGGCAGATGCCCCAGCTCTTCGCCCACCACCCAGCGCGCCTCCTCCGCTACGACCACTTTCTTTCGACACGCACGGCACTGGCGCCGCGCCCGCCTCCTCCCCACCCCCCGCAGCCGCACTAGAACCTCCTCGCCCGCCAGCCAGCGCGCCCACCCCCCGCCCCGACCACATCGTTTCGGCAAGCACGCACGGCACCAGCACCGCCTGCCCCCTGGCCAGCCCAGCTCTCCCTCGCCCCCCATCCGGCGCGCTCCCTCCGCCCCGACCACTGATTTCGGCACGCACGCACGGCACCAGCACCGCCCACCTCTCCCCAGCCAGCCCAGCTCCCCCTCCCCCCAGCGCACCCTGCGCCCCTACCACTTTATTTCGGCACGCACGCACGGCACCGGAACCACCCTCCCCCCCGGTCAGGCCAGCCTGGAGACTTCAAAAGGCCATCGGAAGCGAAACGGTGGCAAGGAACAACTTCTTGATTTTCCTCCGGAGTTTGAGGGGTTTAGGCTTCTTGGGGGGGCCCCGAGGGAGCTCCGAAAGCACTTGGCGACGTCTTGTGGCCCTCTTGTGGCCTCTTTGAACATGATGGGAACCACCTTCATCTCGGAGGCTATCTCGGAGCAAATCCTCTTCCACCACCTCATCCCATGGCAAGCGAGCTGCCTACTTTGAAGGGGATGGTAGGAGTGTGAACAGATCTGGCTGCTCACCTTGCACATCAATTATGCTAACAGAGTTCCCCACATAAGGATGTTACGGGGTTACATTGCTTCTTGTCTGCCACCCGCCCTCGCCTTCTCCATCTTCTTCTATCATCCCCTTCCTCCTCCTCTGTCTCCTCTTCGTCGTTGTGCGCCTCCCCCATCATCATCACTCTTTTGCTCCTCGTCTTCCTTGTCCTCGTTCTCCTCCTCCTTCTCCTCATCCTCTTCCTCGTTCTCCTCCTCCTCCTCATCGTCCTCCGCCTCCTCCTCCTCTTCCTCGTTTTTCTTATGTTCCTCTTTTTGTCCTCTTCGTTGTCCTCCCCCTCCTCCTCCCGTTCCTCCACCTCTTCGGTGTCTTCGATATCGCCCTCTGTCCCCGCGTCCCTCGGGTGGGAGGGGCACGAAAGCTGATAAATAGTGTGGTATTTGAATACCCTGCTCGCTCACGCGGGGCCTCCCTGGAGGGGTGGGAGGGGCACGAAGCCTGATTAATAGTATGGTATTCGAATACCCTGCTCGCTCACGCGGGGCCTCCCTGGAGGGGTGGGAGGGGCACGAAGCCTGCTAAATAGTATGGTATCCGAATACACTGCTCGCTCAGGCGGGGCCTCCCTGGAGGGGTGGGAGGGGCACGAAACCTGATAAATAGTATGGTTTTCGAATACCCTGCTCGCTCAGGCGGGGCCTCCATGGAGGGGTTGGAGGGGCACGAAACCTCATAAATAGTATGGTATTCGAATACCCTGCTCGCTCACGCGGGGCCTCCCTGGAGGGGTTGGAGGGGCACGAAGCCTGATAAATAATATGGTACTCGAATACCCTGCTAGCTCATGCGGGGCCTCCCTAGAGGGGTGGTAGGGGCGATAAATAGTATGGGATTCGAATACCCTGCTCGCTCAGGCGGGGCCTCCCTGGAGGTGTGGGAAGGTATAGCATGGTGTGGAAGGTATGGTATTGTATGGCAGCTATGGTATGGTATGGTATGGTATGGAAGGTACGGTATGGCAGCAATGATGTGGTAGGTATGGTATGGTATTGTACGGATGGTATGGAAAAGGGAACGGGAGGTGGGAAGGTGGGAAGGTGGGAAGGAGAGGGTGTCCTGGGAAAACAAAAACCCCACTCAGGATGTGGGGAAAAACGAACGCAGACGGTGTGCTGGTGCACACGCCATATACCGCACCATATTCCGTGCTGGCCACCCCGCCGCCGCCACTCTCATTGGCGTTTGCCAGATGTGTCCTGTAACGTGCACTTGCGCACCTGTTGCTGCCTGCCGCACGCTGCACGCGTCGCGCACCTTGCGCGGCTGGAGCACGTGGCACACGTGGCACACGTGGCGCGAGTGGCGCATCTGCCGCGCCTGGCACGCTTGGGCCCCTGGGAGCGTCGCGCACCTGGTGTCTGCATTGATTCCCAATGGCTGTCCACCTGGTGGCGGCCTCTGGTTATGCCACTTGTATGATGGGAGGGCGGGTGGAAGCGAGCGAGGCAGCTTGTGGCCTTGCGTTGGCAACTTGCCCACTCCCCGTATCGCCTCCCCTGGGTTTGGACGGGGGGACGGGGGGAGGGGGTAGGGGGACGGGGGCGAGCGGTCAGAGCGTTCAAGACAGCATGGCCCAAGACGGTTCCAAGAGGGGCCCCAGATAGCGCAAGATAGCTTCCAAGAGCGCACAAGAGAGCGCAAAATGGCTCAAGATGAACCCCAATCATGGCTCCGAGAGGCCCAATACCGCTCCAAAACGGCGCCCAGTGGCCACGAAGTCTCCAAGGACGCTGCCAAGAGGCCAAAACCCTTCCAACGCGTACAACAAATCAGTGGTGCGTGTCTTCGTGGCGTTGGCTCCCGATGGCCTGTTGATGCATCAAGACGGCCCAAAGATCGCACAACAGAGCCCCAAGAGGGGTTCAGGAGGGCCCAACGACGGCCTCAAGAGCGCCCAGGAGCGCCTTAAGAGCGCCCAAAGAAAGCCTCAGGACGAGATGCTTCGGCCTCCGACGAGAGGGGGGCGTGCTTGAGTCCGCCTTCTGCTCTGATCGAAAGCTTACTAGATAGCCCCAGGAGGCCTCCCAAGGGCCCCCAAGAAGGCCCCAAGAGAGTCCTGAGAGCGCCTTCGGAGATCCCAGAAGGACACCAAGAGAGCCCTCAGATGGCTCAACGAGACCTCGAAGAGGCTTCCATGAGGCTGCCAGCTGTTCGAGCAAATGATCTGCGAAGATCTTCATGGTTGTCTCCTGTCGTCGTCTTCCTCCTCCTCCTCCTCATCCTCATCCTCCTCCTCCTCCACCTCCTCCTCCTCCTCCTCCTCCTCCCCTCCCCCTCCTCGCCTCATCATCATGATCAGCAGCAGCCTCATCATCATCATCATCATCATCATCATCATCATCATCATCATCATCACCATCATCATCATCAGCATCATCATCATCATCATCATCATCATCATCATCAACATCATCAGCATCAGCATCAGCATCAGCATCAGCATCAGCATCAGCATCATCATCAGCATCAGCATCATCATCATCATCATCAGCATCATCATCATCATCATCATCATCATCATCATCATTACCACCACCACCACCATCCGCAGCAACAATAGCATCAGCATCAGCATCATCATCATCAGCAGCAGCTGCAGCAGCAGCAACATCACCACCACAACCAGCACCACCGCCATCATCACCATCATAATCCTCATCATCAGCATCATCAGCAGCATCATCATCAGCATCAGCATCGTCATCATCAGCATCACCATCATCATCACCACCACCATCATCATCATCATCATCATCATCCTCTTCCTCGTTCTCCTCCTCCTCCTCCTCAACCTCCTCCTCCTCCGCCGCATCTTCCTCCTCCTCCTCGTCGCCATCATCATCATCACATCATCATCCTCCTCCTCATCATCATCATCATCACCACAGCCATCATCATCATTATCAGTATCATCAGCAGCAGCATCATCTGCATCGGCAGCATCAGCATCAGCATCATCATCAGCATCAGCATCAGCATCATCATCAGCATCATCACCACCAGTATTATCATCAGCAGCAGCATCGTCATCATCACCATCAGCATCATCATCAGTCATCATCATCAGCATCATCATTATCATCATCATCATCATCATCATCATCATCATCATCATCATCATCATCATCATCATCATCACAACCACCACCATCACCACCATCACCACCACCACCACCACCATCATCATCATCATCATCATCATCATCATCATCATCATCATCATCATCATCATCATCATCATCATCATCATCATCATGATCATCATTATCAGCATCGTCATAATCATCATCAGCAGCAGCATATAAGCATCATCATCATCATCATCATCATCATCATCGTGATCATCCTGATCATCACCACCACCATAACTGTCATCAGCAGCATCATCAGCAGCATCATCATCGGCATCATCATAATCACCATCATCATTCGTCGTCAGAAGCATCATCAGCATCAGCATCAGCATCAGCATCATCATCATCATCATCATCATCATCATCATCATCGTCGTCGTGATCATCATCATCAGCACCCAGCATCAGCATCAGCATCAGCAT